AATACGAACGTATTCCATTACCCTAAACACTCAAGATTCTTACCTAGCTCCAGCCCCAATAGCTACCGATAACATATTACTCACAGCGATAAAACCCTCAGTCATCGCTGGAGCGAGTGTCGTACCCGCGCCTTGCGATTCCAGGAGCGCAACGGATGCGTTCCCACCAGCATATAAGCCAGGAATCGCTATGCCGCTCTTGCCGAGCACTCTGGCAAACTCGTCGGTCAGAAGACCGCCTCTTGTGCCAGCATCACCGGGGAAGATCTTCATGGCGTAGAATGGGCTCTCTTTGACGGGACCCATACAAGGGTTCGGGGTCACATCTGGATCGCCGATAAACTGCTGGTACCTATCCTCACCCCTGTGGAAGTACTTGTCGTGGCCATTTTCGCACATCTCGTTCCATTCAACCACGGTCGACTGCAGATGGTGGTCCGGTTCTAGAATTTGTTTTGCCAAATCATCAATCGTGTCTGAACGGAACAGGCGGCCAAGGTTGACAGCGACGTCGATTGAGCATGAATTCTCCAGTCCCCTTGGAGGGTATTCCTGCATGTACGTGCTATCGAAAATAAGCCAAAACACGGTCGCTTTGGTGTTTTCCTTCGCCCTTTCATACATGGCCCTAACAGCAGGACCGTATGGTTGGGATTCGGAGAAGAAACGGCGCCCATCGCCGTCTACTACAAAGGAAAATGGCTTGGATATGGCGAACATGGCTTCTGTTACCTTTCCTTCCATTATTCTTCCTTCCGCGAAGTCGATTCTTGTAGGAATACCCCAGACTTGGTCGAGCTGCGCACTGTCAGCGCCAAGCCTTTCGCCGACTTGGAGCGCAACACCAACATCGCCGCGCGCAGCAAGACTCCAATCTGCCATGGTAACCATCTTTGCTCCTGCGGCCTCGGCGGGCACTATACGGAGGTAGGTATCTCTCATCACCTGGTTCTGAGAGAACCCTCCTGTGGCAAGTATCACGCCTAGTGATGCATGGATATCGACTGATTCATGGCTACGTTCACATCGGACTTTTGCTCCGATGACTCGGCCCTCCGCCCCGGAGGACAAGAGCTCTTGTAGCTCACACCGGGTCAAAATACTCACGTTGCCATGCTTCCTACAGATATTGAGGAGCTGAGCGATCAGCGATTGACCCATTGACGTTGGCCTCCTCATGCATTGAATCGAGGCTGCGCTCTCAGTAGTGCGGCTT